GACGACTTCGTCCAATTTATTTTTTTTTAATAAGCAATCATAGCAATCACAAAAAAATGACAAAATGTCAATGCCAAATAATGACAAAATTGAAAAAATTAATACTCATTTTATTTTAAAATACCCCGCTACAAAAATAGGAAAAAAAACATAATGGGTATGCAGTCGTCACCTGTCCGACAGCGAGGGAAGTACTGCCTTAACTCTTTAGACCAATTTTTTTTAATTCGGGAGACTCTTTGGTACCCAGAGTCTCCCAGAGTATATTATTTTGGAAGCCCATGGAGATTTTTTGTAAATTATTTAAAACAATTTTGAGGGACTTTGGTGTTTTGTTTTTAGAAAATTCTAATGTGACCTGTTTTTGAGTTAATTTTTGGACTTTTTTTTTGAAAAATTTAAAACAATCTTGAGGTTCTAGATATTCCTGTTTGGAAAGAATTTGAAAGTGCTTTGGCACCTCTGGTGTATTTTCTTTGTATAATTTAATTCAATTTCTTAGAAGATACGTCATTTGCCAAAATCAGGCTTATCTTAGCAGGTACTAGCCCCGCCCACCCGCCCTCTCTTTTCTTATAGATTATGTCATTTGCCAAAATCGATCTTATCTTAGCAGGTACTAACCCCACCCACTCATCCTATATTTTCTTAGAGGGATCTCGTGAACATAAACAGAGTCCTGGTTAAGCATGTATTGATAATATATACATATTTTCCCGTTGCTGAACCGTTCTTGATTCGATAAATAAAATAAACTGCCTCATGAATGAACTAATTTGAATCACCATTATTAGCAGTTACAAAGTATACACAACAAAATATCCAACAAAACAATGAATTGTTAACGGTTTCGAGACTATCAAGATGTTGGAAAACCCGATTTTGCATTGATACAAATGTATTTTTCTAAAAAACCATAACTCAGAATAGGAAAGGGGAACGTTGAGCAATTTACGATTGTTTCTGCTTGATTTATCTAATAGTTTGAATGCAAAAACCTATTTCTTAGCATTTTACAATTAAATAAAGAACTAGATTTTTTTTATTCCAATAAGCAGCATGCCATGCATATGTTTCAAGTGATGATGTCGTCAACATTTTAGCAAGGACACGTGTACCAATTGGAATAGGTGCAATGTAATATTAATAATAACAGTACTGTATTCTCATATTTTTAGAAAATTAGGGTGAAATGTTCCTGAATTAATTAATAAAAAAAAAGAATTGGGGATATCGTGAATACTGTTTAAACCCGGACTTGTTATTTGTGAAGCTGACGGTTTTCGAACCATTCTTAGAAGCTGACTTATCCGACTCCGAGAAGAGGAGGAATTAAACAGTAAAAATAATAATAATAAACAAATTGAAGGTGGATTCAAAAAATCACAATTGTATAGAATTTAAATAACTTTTATAACGCGTAATTTTAAACAAACGTCATCAAATTTTTGGTAGAGATGATTAAAGAAATTTTGATTAGTGTTTTACTACCTACAAGATACTCCAAAAATTCATATAAAATGCGACGACAATTGGTCCAGTAGTTTTGGAGATTATCTGTCCTGACAAAATCGACACAGACGACAGATGTTAAACGACAAACGACAAACGTAAACGGAAAACTACTTTTTTCGTACTCTTGGGGTCATGAAACGTCAGGAAAACTTTAAAGTAGAGATTCGTCGATTGGACTTTATTACAATATGTATTTTCTTCTTTTTCGTAGAAATTTCTGGATTTCTTAGTGTGGCACTCTTTCTGGGATCTTTAGTTTTATTATATTTTAAACCTAAGGCGAAGAAATATTTGGTTACGTCTAGTACGTCTTCGTATTTGTTTTTTTTTTCGAAAAATTATGAAATTTAATTTTGCGAATTTATGATAGCCCCTTTAAGTGAAAATAAATATGTGCGTGGAATGTTAAAGTATAGGTAAAGGAGCATGCTATGCATGCGTTTCAAGTGAGTTTTCCATGACAAAATTTTGTGATAACGTCATCAACATTTTAACAAGGACACATAGGTATACCACTCAGAACAGGCGCCATGTAATACTAATAATAAAATTACTGTATACTCAAATTTTCGGGGAAATGGAGTGAGCCGTTCTTGATTTGAAAAATAAAATAGGTTAATTCGTTCATTATTTTTTTGAGAACCATTAATCCTAAAAAATATGAATGCCTTCATAAACCACAAGTGTAGATTCATGATATTTCACATATTTTAGGATTTATTATTAACAGGGCCAGCTGTTCTGGATTCAGTCAATAAAATAAATTGACTCCTTCACTGATATTTTTTATTCAATCTGTAAATGAAGTTCTGAAAAATACAATGATACGTTGAAAAATAAGAAGTATAGACTCATCACATTATGCAGATTTTCGATAGGATTTATTCGCAAAAGTTTGAGATGACGTAATCATTTTTTGGGGGGATAAACAAATATATTTTAATTAAAAATTTATCATGTTTACGATAACTTTAAAAGTCTGCAAGTTTTCAAAGCATTCGTTCTTGCAGATTCAAAATTAAATTGCTAAATTTTGTGTGGAACAACTTTGTTTTTTTTTTTCAAAAATCTGGATGTCTCAGTTAAAACTCGACACGGATTCATAAATTACCCGTGGGGGTATGTTATAATTAAAATTGTTAAGCCTTTTGTGATATTATAAAATGAAGAAAACGCTAGATAAATGACGTATATGTCTTCTAGATTTGAGGCCAAGAATTTTTTAAAATAATTTTTTCTTTGTTGAATAAACACTTCTAAACAAGGTGTCATAGAGGTTGCGCGCCATTTTTCGATCACGCTGTATATGGATCTTATTTGATCTCTCGGTGCAGGATAACAGTTTAAAGCTACTCCTGTTATGGCTCTAGACATGGAAAATACAAAATTACAAAAATTGTGGACGCGTTTCGCCAACCACGTTGGCATTACTAACAATACTAACCAGGTTAGCCTAGATAATGCCAACGTGGTTGGCGAAACGCGTCAACGATTTTTGTATTTTTGTATCTTTGGTGTTACAGAGGTAGTAAACCTAATATCATCCTGTATATTTTCGGCATGACGCAATCAAATTTTTACTTGAAATATATACAATTCTCTTGGTATGTACTACATTTTCGTCAAATTTCCAAAAAATGTGTATTAAGAAAATTGAATTTATTGATAGTTTTTTAGTCCACCAATACTGAAATTTACTTTAAAATTTACATGAAAGTTTCGCATGTTGTGAAAAAGAAGTTTGCACAAACTTTTATATCATTTAATTATCCCTAAATTCATCTTATTGTTTTACCCAGTTCAGAGAATTTCGTTTTGTGATTTCTTATACAAATTGTAAGATTCTTATGCTGCAAAAATGGCCTATTCGATAAAGAGAGATTTGTTTCTGGTCTGCTTTATTCTGCAATTCCAGTAAGTGTATTTTTGGCAATAGTTCACGGTATTATCTGACAACACAATAAAATACGTAGAAAGCGCTGACACCAAACGTCAAATTTTAAATTAGGCGGGCAAAATCTTCAGGAACTAGTACCAAGTGATGTTGGTATTACAGATATTTGACACTTTATGTGACAGTTCAACAAAGAACGTTTTACCAACATCAAGAAAATAAGTTGAAATCAGAGGCTTTACATGAGATGTATATATGGTACAATTTTGAGATGACGTCATTAATTATGTGATGGGAACAAGTACACAAATTCTGGTTAACCCTTGATGACCCTCACGATAATCTTGGAGTGCACTCGAAACTTCAAAGTAATCGATTTACTAGTTGTAGGACTGACCTCTCTAGTAAAACTGTGAATAAACGGAAACAGGGTTACCAATACTTTCAAATTCTACACAGAACGAACGAATTTATAATATTATAAATCACGTAATTGCACAACTGGAATATGCTGCAATTTGACATCCAAAAGGGTCGCAATATTGACTATTGCATATAATTTTTTTGAATATACTGGAAGGTATTTTTGCTTTGAAAAATAGAGAAATATGAAAAGCAATCTACAGAGCTCTGGAACGAACCAATTAGGATTTGTTTGTTTATTTGCATCCAGGTCCTGTTCGCTGCAGCTGCATTAGTAATTTTAGAGAGTCATAGTGAGCTTTTTTGTTTACAACACCGTTCAAATTAGTTTTAGTAATAAATTTGTTCAGGTTCTCGGAGTAAATATGTGTTGATGTAAGTTCACCTCTCCCACTTCGTGCACCCGAGAAAACTCTGTCCGTTTTATTGCACGTAGGAACCTAACACGTAGTAAAAGCCCTCAGGGCATGACATCTCATGTCATGGTTGATTTACTCTGCTTTAACTTATCTATTTTGCGCCAGATTTGATATTCATATATTGATCTAAACTATAACTATAACTATACACCTCACGAACCAGCTCGAAATGGGTTTAGGGTTATTATTGGTTTTCTTTAAAAGCTGCTATTTTGGGTTTATGTGGACGTTAAAATTAATTAGTAAGTGACTGTGGATTATATGGTACACAGATTAAAATACAGAACAAATGCAAACACCGAACATTTAGAATCTGAGATAACGATGTGGAATTTACCCACAACAATTACCCGATCTATGTATTTACATTACAAAGCAATGATTTTCGTCGGTCTAGTTATGTTGATTTTCGACAACAGGGCTTTCCTGTAACGGGTCATGAAACGTCGGGAAGATATGAAAGTACCAAGTTGCCTGATGGATTCAGCTTCCCTTAGAATCACACCAGAACTGAAAAATTCACCGATCGACACGTCCATTTAAAATTTGCAGGGTTTCAACAAAACAAATAAAATCCCTACTTCGTTAATCGAGTCTAACCCTCGGGCCTATAAATAAAGGAATTATTTGACCCTAATGAAAAGTTTATTTTTATTTCGGACTATGCATAAAACATCTAAGCGCAATAAAATCGCCCACAAAATATAAAACACCCCTTCATGAAATAGTGATTTTTATTTTACACTTACTCGAAGGTTAGATTGCCTGCTTGAATGTCCTCGTCGACCTCTATAGTCCAGTTAAGCGTTAACGGCGACTCGTCCAATTGACTTTTAAAGACGTGCGGTCGACAATCCAACCCTTCGGCACTATTGATGAATTTTCCCAACGGAAAGTCGTCGATCCGGGACTTTATTGTGAACGCTATGACAGGTCCTTTTCTTATTCTCTTCAAAACGACTGCGAACAAAACACACCGTAAGCATAGTCGAAATAAACAAGTCGATATTACTTAAAGTACGAAAATTTTGTCGTCGCCAAAGTGGAGTTATTTCGGCTTGTTGGGGGGATTTTTGCGCAAGTTTGCTCGTAACAATCTACAAGATTTACAGTTTCACTTTATTCGTAATTATAATTGTCTTTCAGCTTTGGAAGGATGTGATCCGACTGCTGAAAACTTTGGAGTTTGTTTTACACCCGAGATTATTGTAGAATAAAACTTCCTGTTAAAAACTTCATTTAGTTCTTCGGGCTGGGAGCTTGACGAGATGTGATCCTAAAAATGCGTCGTTAACAATGAAATATTGTCGGAATGCTCCGGCATTGGTAGTTTTGTATGCACAAATTCACGGCGCTTTTAGAGGTGTTCAAGTTGTAAACTTTTAATTTGTTGGCAACTTTGTAGAAGCAACTGTGTATTTAAATAAGGATAATAATGCAAGATAACTGCAGGATTAATTTTCGAGATCATTTTATAAAGAAGACTTTTTACGAGCGAAACTTGGCACCTTATTGCAGCAACTGAGATAAAAGTTTTACTGCACTTCATCCATAAAAGGTTTGAAACGCTTTCACAAAAATGTGTAAAGTTATTTGTCCAAAAGCTTCTCCTTTTGTCAAGCACATTAAACACGCCCTTATAATAAAAATTGATCGAAGGTTATTTCGACAGAACTTCTCGCGACCCTGAAGTGAAACCCACCAAAAACCGCTTCTTCAAAAATTAAAAATGTCACATGTTTCATTCGATTTTGAAATGCAACTATTTTTTTGTTTAACTAAGAATTAATTCTTTGTATCTTATTTCAGCAAACCGTCTTAAATTAACAATATTCTTGAAATCGTAATAATTCAATATGTTCTATTTTGTATGAAATTTTAAATATTTTTAGTGACAATTGTTGTAGTTATTTTCGATACCTTGTAATAACACTAAGAAAAAAATTAAAAATCTAAAAACCAAGATGTCAACAAATCGAAACAAAAAAAATCGTAAAACCTAAAAATTGAAAAATCGAAAAATGTAAAATTTAAAAAATCGAAAAATTAAAAAATAGAAATATCGAAGAACTGAAAATAAAAAAATCGAAACATGAAAAAATCGAAATAATGAAAAATTCAAAAATCTAAAATTTAAAACCTGGAAAATGAAAAATCGAGAAATCGAAACTCCAAAATTTAAAAATTCCAAAAATTGGAAAATCAGATAATAGAAAAATCGAAACATCTAAAAACTGGAAAAAATGAAAATCCGAAAAATCAAAGTCGAAAAATTGAGAAACAGAACTCGGCCAAAATCGAAATTGAATTGAACATTCAGAACACTGAACATCCAACTCTCGACAAATCGAGGAATCAAAAAATTTAAAAATTCCAAAAATTCAAAAATCGAAATACTGAGAAATCGAAGGACCAAAAGATCCAGAAATCGAAAAGTCATGAAGTCGAAAAATAGAAAAATTAAAAACCGAAAAAGGCCGAAATCGAAAAAACGAAAGTTAAAAGTTAAAAAATTGGAAAATCGAAAAATCAAACGGCGGAAAAAAAAAACAAAAAACGGCAAATGGAAAAGCTGAGAAGCCGAATAGGCTAAAATAAAGAATTGAAAAACTGATAAATCGAGAAACTGAACAATCAAAATATCGAAACATCCAAATCTCGATAAACCGGGAATCAAAACAATGAAAAGTAGACATCTAAATGAGAAAAATAAAAGATCCAAAATTTGAAAAAACGAAAAATTGAAAAACAGAATATCTAAAATCGGGAAGTCGAAAAATCGAAAGATTAAGAAATAGAAACATTTGAAAAATTCGAAAACTTGAAAAATTGAAATATCGAAGAACTGAAGTGCAAAATTGAGAAATCGAAAAATCTAAAATTTTAAAAATCGAAAAATTGAAATATCAAAAAACTGAAAAATCTGAAATTTAAAAATCGAAAAATTGAATAAGTAAAAATATCGACTCATCGAAAAATCCAAAAATCAAAGATCGAAAAGTCGAAGAATCGAAATATTGAAAAATCCCAAAACTGAAATATAAAAAAACTGAAAAATGCAAGAAAAACTGAAGAATGGAAAAACTGAAAAATCCCACAAGACGAGAATCTAAAAAATTGAAAAATTGAGACATCGAAAAATCAAAAAAGTGAAGTCGAAAAATCTAAACCTTCGAAAAATTGAAAAATCAAATACCCGAAAAATCGAAAACTTGAAGAACTGGAAAATCGAAACAATCGAAAATCAAAAAAATGGGAAAATCAGAGCATCGAATATTTGAAAAATCGAAAAATTGATAATTTAGAAAAGTCAGAAATTGAGAAATTAAGAATCGAAAAACCCAGAAATCGATAGATCAAAAGATCGAGAAATCGAGAAGTCGAAAAGTTGAAAAATTGAGAAACCGAACTCGGGCAAAATTGAAAAGACGAAAAGTTAAAAATTGGAAAATTGAACAATCAAAATACTGAAACACTGAAATTTCGATAAATTAAGGAATTAAAAAACATGAAAATTCGAAAAATTGAAAAATTGAAATATTGAAAAATCGAAAGATCAAAAGATAGAGAAATCGAAAAGGCATTCAGTTGAAAAAACGAAAGTTAAAATTTAAAAAATTGGAAAATCAAAAAATCTAAAAGCCGAAAATTAAAAAAAGAAACAACTGAAAAAGGAAAAAACCAGAAACCAAATAGGCCAAAATAAAACATCGAAAATTTATAAATTGAAAAACTAAACAGTCAAATTGTCGAAACATCCAAATCTCCATAAATCGGAAATCAAAACAATGAAAAATAGAAAAATCTAAAAAATGAAAAATTAAAAAATCCAAAATGTGAAAAAACGAAAAATTGAAAAACAAAATATCTAAAACCGAGAAGTCGAAAAATCGAAAGATTAAGAAATAGAGACATTTGAAAAATTCGAAAACTTGAAAAATTGAAATATCGAAGAACTGAAGTGAAAATCGAGAACTCGAGAAGTCTAAAATTTTAAAAACTGAAAAATCTGGAATTTAAAAATCGAAAAATTGAAAAATCGAATAAATAAAAAAATTGACACATCGAAAAATCCAAAAGTCAAAAAAGAAAAACTGAAAAATGCAAGATAAACTGAAGAATGGACAAACTGAAAAATCCCAAAAGCTGAGAATCTATAAAAATTGAAAAATTGAGAAATCGAAAAATCAAAAAACTGAAGTCGAAAAATCGAAACCTTAAAAAAATCGAAAAATTGAAAAATCATAGACTTGAAAAATCGAAAACTTGAAGAATTGAAAGTCAAGAAATGGGAAAATCAAAACATCGATTACTTAATTGAAAAATCGAAAAATTGGGAATTTAGGAAAATCAAGAACTGAAAAATTGAAAAATCGAAATATTTAAGAATTGTAAAATTGAAGAGGAGAAAAATTGAAAAAAAGTAAAACTGAAACATCGAAAAATTGAAAATTGAGAAATTGTAAAATCGAAAAATTTAGTAATAAATAAATAATTTGAAAAATCTGAAAACTGAAATATCCAAAAACTGAGAAATTAAAAAATTGAAAAATTGAGAAATCACAAAGTCAAAAAAGTGCGGTCGAAAAAGCAAAACCATAAAAAATGAAAAAAACTGAAAAATCAAAAACCTAAAAAATTGGAAAATTCAAGAATTGAAGAAATGAAAAATCGAAAAATTGAGAGTTTATGAAAGTCAAATTCGAAAAATTGAAAAATCAAAATATTTAAAACTCGTAAAATTGAAGAGAAAAATTGAAACATCGAAAAATTGAAAATCGTGAAATTGAAAAATTGAAAAACTAACAGTCGAAAGTCAAGAAATAGGAAAATCAAAACAGATTAATTGAAAATTGGAAAAATTGAGAATTTAGGAAAATCAAACACTGAAAAATTGAAAAACTGAAATACTTATTAAAAAATTATATAATTGGAGAAGAGAAAAATTGAAAAAATTTAAAACTGAAACATCGGAAAATTGAGAAATCGAAAAATTGAAAATCGAGAAATTGTAAAATCGAAAAATTTAGTTATAAATAAATAATCTGAAAAATCCCAAAACTGGAATTTCGAAAAATTGAAAAATGAAAGAAAAACTGAAAAATGGAGAAACTGAAAAATCTCAAAACTGAAATATCCAAAAACTGAGAAATTAAAAAATTGAAAAATTGAGAAATCACAAAGCCTAAAAAGTGAAGTCGAAAAAGCAAAACCATAAAAAATTAAAAAAACTGAAAAATCAAAAACCTAAAAAATTGAAAAATTCAAGAATTGAAGAAATGAAAAATCGAAAAATTGAAAAATCGAAATATTTAAAAATCGTAAAATTGAAGAGAAAAATTGAAACATGGAAAAATTGAAAATCGTGAAATTGAAAAATTGAGAGTTTATGAAAGTCAAATTCGAAAAATTGAAAAATCGAAATATTTAAAACTCGTAAAATTGAAGAGAAAAATTGAAACATCGAAAAATTGAAAATCGTGAAATTGATAAATTGAAAAATTGTACAATCGAAAAATTGAAGCCGAAAAATCGAAACCTTAAAAAAATAGACAAATTGAAAAATCAAAAACTTGCAAAAATGAAAAATAGAAGAATTGAAAAACTAACAGTCGAAAGTCAAGAAATAGGGAAATCAAAACATAGATTAATTGAAAATTGGAAAAATTGAGAATTTAGGAAAATCAAACACTGAAAAATTGAAAAACTGAAATACTTATTTAAAAATTATAAAATTGGAGAAGAAAAAAAATGAAAAAACTTAAAACTGAAACATCGGAAAATTGAGAAATCGAAAAATTGAAAATCGAGAAATTGTAAAATCGAAAAATTTAGTTATAAATAAATAATCTGAAAAATCCCAAAACTGAAATTTCGAAAAATTGAAAAATGAAAGAAAAACCGAAAAATGGAGAAACTGAAAAATCTCAAAACTGAAATATCCAAAAACTGAGAAATTA